AATTAAATTAAATTAAACCCTAAATAGGGAGTAGATAAGGGCCTTTCCCCAGGAGGAATCTATCCAGTTTTGAGGACCTGCAAATGTCCTCTTGTGGGGAAGGGGACACTCCTTCCGCTATTCATGGGCTCATGTGAATAGGTTTTCACTGTACCAATTTGTGGAATCATTTCCTCTCCAAGCTAAGATTCATCCACTCTCTCCCATTATTTTGGAAAAGAAGGAACACTAAGATTTTAGTGAGGCATATAGGCTTCTTTAATTAAAAAAACAACAACAAACTCTGGCCTTTTGAATCACTCTTAGTACTATTAATATTATTCCACTTTTATTTTATTGCTGCTTTGTTTTGTTTCTCTATATTATTGTTTATAACATGATTTACTGCAGCAGTCTTGGTGACATTAATGGAAAGGATATATATAGTAGAAATATTATGAAATCGATAAATAAAGGCACTGTAGTCCATCTGTGATATGGAAGATAAATCAATGTGCTGCCTTTACTTCAGAAACTTACTAGCAGAAGAATTGGATAGGAGAGATTAGTCATTATTTTAAAAATGAGTTGATGAAACAGATTTAATTAAAATAGCTTCCTAAGAATGACTAAGCAAGCAGTAACTGGAGTAAGAGGAGGGGGGTCTGGGATGTATCTCCCAGAGCTGGCTGGCAACCTCAACATTATGTTGTGCTCTCGCTTCATATTATATAATAAAGAAAGGTCTCTGAGCACGTATAGAGTACGTTTCTCTCACACCTGAGCAGTCACATGCTTTTTCTACATACTTATAATAAAAGTGTTCTGTTATACATGTGGGTGAGAAAGGAGACTTCTGGGGCAGATCCTGGTTTAAAAACTTGGCATTTTGTTTTCGAGCACCTTCCCTTGATGGTATTCTGAGATCTAATCCAAACTCTGCAGAAAAACATCCTTGGCAGTTCTGTACGTTGCAATCTTTTTCTCCCCCAGCCCATTGGCCGTGCTTTACCATTTCCATTACATGTTCCTTGTCGAGTAGGGCCAAGTGGCACGCAACAGGAGTCATCTGCCAAACTGACTGGGGACGAAAGAATGGAGGATATAGCATTTTACATGTGAAGTTCACTTAAAATTTCACAGCCCCCTAGCGAGTGCAAGAACAAAGGGAGTTTCTGCTACTCTGATCCTAAACACCCATGTAATTCTGTATGCATACTTTTTTTTAAAAAGGGAGAAAGGGTTAATGCGTTTTAAAAGAAAAATACATTATAAATATATATATAAAAATAAATGACTGTCTGTCTGTCTTTCTATTCATCTGAGATATGCCTGAGCTGGTTGTCCCCCATTTATAAAATGTCTTTTAAAATAACAAGGAAAGAAGGATGCTGTCTGATCATCCCCAGAGAGTGGAAGCTGTTGCAACATTCCTGAAATGAGAAGAGGGACTGGAATGTCTGTTCAGTAAAGAAAGCTCCTTGGAGTGGGTTCTGGCTTGCAAACTTACCATCAGTCTTGAGTGAAAGTCCTGAGGACGTGGTTTGATAGGCCGGCTCATGGAGGCTGAAATACACAGCTGTGTGACAATAAGCTTTCTGACCATGGTCCTCTGGGTGGAGGATGACAGGGAGAGGGATTGTAATGTTTGTTACTTCATGCCAAGTACAGTTTATGGAACTTGGTGAATTAAAACTCTTTGACCCTTTGAAAAAGGTCACAGTAAGATTACAGCAGGGATGTACCCTTAATATGTGGCATATCAGGTGATAGGTCCAGCTTTGGCCTGGTGAGGGCTTCTGGAGCTCCAGGGTTAACCGCACAAGAGGTTCTGCAATGACACGTATAGCCAGAAAAAGACAACAGTAACGGGTGAATGGCTGGGTTTCTTCTCTGAGGGTGATGGAATATTTCTCTCCCTTCCTATTCTGCCAAGGGTTGGATAGGTTGAAACCCTTCAGTGGGTTCTTTCACAACTCCCCATTGACCACTTCAAGAAAAAAGACTTCCTCCTCTATCTGCCAAATTTGGGGATTGCTACCACCACCCTTTAGAAATCCATTCCCAGTAGATGTCCCGAAATTCAGGAGTCACTTACGGTAAGTTTGTTTTATTGTTCTTTCCACTCCAGGACTTATGGACGGACTCCAGTCAATCAAGGAGTCGGAAGTAAGGTTGTTGTCTAACCAGGGTAGATTTCTCTGAGTCACTGCCCCATTCTGTGGGGAAACTGTTTCTTCAGAGATGCCTGGAATGAGAAAAACTCCAAGTTACAGCATTAATCAGACTTGTGAATAGCTAGCTAATAATTCAAAGACAGGCAGGTTTAGAAGCATTGGTATTTTATATGATGGCTGATGTGTTTATTTTTCTGGGATATTCAGGTACCTAACATAGGCGCATACCTAACATACCTGTTTATGCTAGATTATAGTCTATCTAAACAAATAAGGAATTGATTGCTATTTTACCTTTGTGGGTCTATCTGGTAGGCAAGCATTGATGTTTCAGGACCAATTGTGAGATAGCATTTCTTAAGCCACCATTTTGGAAAGTCTGTGATATCTTAGGAACATCTTGGCTCATAAGACAAAATGTTGTCCTGAAAGGTAAATTAGTGAGGTTTCCCCTGAAATTCTACACTGAAATGGACATTAAATGCCCAACCTTCCTTCATTTCTAATCTTATCCAAGGAACAATGAATCATAATTTGACAGTCGAGTGTCTTGAGACTTAAACTGTATCAAAAGCCTGTTTTAACACCTCAGCCACTGCCCTGCTTCTTTTTTAAGCAGCAACATCTTTGATGAATCACCCTTCTAGAACGTCTCCTTTTTTTGTGAGATGTTTTTACCACCAAAGCCTATAAGTGCCTTAATTCATCTGATCACAGACGTCTGTCCTTTACTGTATTTCAGCTAGACACTGAACAGCGAGCTAGCCAACCTATTTGTACCTTAACCCAGCACTTGTAGCTAGTTTATGATTCAGGGTGTTAAAAGAACCCAGACATTTGGGTTAACTGTGGGTAAGCCTGTTTGTGAATATGGCCCTTGTATAAAACATGATGCTCTTATGCCAGTTGTAGGAAGGAGTACAGTGTGCTTAAAATGCTGGGTTAGAAGCAGCAAAACCTAGATTCCAGTCCATTGTCAGCCATGAAAGCTTCCTGGGTGACTTTGGGCCAGTCACCTTCTCTCAGCCCAATCTATTCAAGGGTTGTTGTTTTGGGGAAAATTAGGATGAGCACTATGGCCTTGACCTCTTGAATGAAAGGCAAGATATAAATGAATTAATACCAGCATCAGAGGATACAAGAATTACCCTTTTCTGTCTCTTCCTCAAGCATGTACAGAAGATACCGTGGTGTTTTAAGAGATTCCAGCCCTCCATCCTAGGCTGGAAGAGAACAGCTGCTCCAGAGAGGTTGCCATGATCTTTGGGGGAGGGGGGCTGCTGATTTAAAAGTCTGCTTTCATTTATTTGCAGGACATAATTAAAAGGGCAAGAGGAAGAGGATGTTGTTTTCTGCACTGGACAAGCTGGATAGTGGACTCAAGAGACTATAGACCAACTGGGTCAACACCCGGCCAGCCCCTCATTCTTCTTCCTTTCTTCTGACTCTTACAGATATTGCAGACAATAGCCAAAAACATATGGCCGTCCTAAAGCATATGTTTTGCACCTCCTTAAGTGCAACAGAAAAGTGTTGTCATGGATTGTTCTAATAGCACAGCCGAACAGCAACAAGGCCAGGAAGTGTTGCTGTCCTTATAGACTTAGTGCAGAACGCTTTCAAGGAGAGTGAGCAGTGGTTTCCCCCACAATCACTCTCCAGAATATATGGTGGGGCAGCAGTGGGGGTCTTCTGGCACCTTCTTCCAAAAATCAGGATTTTGCTGGGTTTTGCCATGGGGCTATCAGTCTCCTTTAATAGCCTTGTGGCAGTGGGGTGGGGAGAAGCAAAGTTGGGTGGTTTAAATGAATCTCTGATTCCAGTCTGATAGTACTTTTTTTCTGATTGTACCTTATTGTCTTATCTCTAATTCATTTAATTTTACTCAACTTCCAAATCCATTTCATTTTTTTGCCCTGGTCTTGCACATTTCTCTGTTCTGATCTCACCTACTTTTCCGGAGGGTAGTCCCAAAAGGCCATTTAAAAGGCCCAAGTCTCAAGAAAGGTGAGTTGTGTAGACCTGCTTTAAAGGAAGCAAAACATGAATGGGAACTCACCAAAAATCTTTAATATGCTGTAGTTGTTTTTTTTCAGGAGTGGTCCTCTTGGTCTCAGATCCAGGGATGTGTGGCAGTAGACTATCTTGTTGTGGTCATTTCGCTGAGCTATTATTCTATGTTTCACCACAACAGGACCTGCTTCAGGTGCAGTATGATCCTCAAAGGTCTTTACCAGAAGTTGCTCTGCCCCTTTCAACAAGGTCATGGTGAGGTTCCGGATGGGGGCTACACCAGAAACCTGGCACGTCAAGTCATATGGCTTGCCCACCTCCATTTCTGGCATTGGGTCCAGTTCAACACTCTCTGGAGGTTCTGAAATAGAATAAAGCGTAGCCAAACTTCTCCACTATTTATAGGAGAGGTGATGATGAGTAAAATAATGACTTTCCCGCACTTCATTCCACTACAGCTTGGGAAATCTTTTTCCACAGTATATCAGGGAGAGAATATAATGTGTCCAGTTCTATGAGGCTTTGGCCATCTGCCCTACTCTATCACCCAGTATACTGTAAACTTCCATCTCCCATTTGGAAAGATAATGAATTTCCCTGGGTCCAGGGAGTGGGGAAGGGGCTGGGGAGAAAGCAGACTGGTGGAAAATGATTTCTCAGCAGATGTAAACTTGAGATAATTTCGGTGAAGCACTGGTGGCTGCATTCTTTAAAAGCAACTTGAGCTTCACTAAACAGTGGCCAACCATATTCTGCTATTAACAGAAAATGGGTAGATTCCCTTCATTTGCATAATATATACAGTTGCAGGATTCATCTGCTGTCTCCCTTCATTCTTCTTAAGGAAGAAGGAAGAGAGAAGAGCATCCAGCAGTGATAGCCAGGGAAGCATTGACGGCCTTCAGAGATTTTGCTTCTAGCCCATGCTGTTGCAGAGCATCACTCCTCCTCCTTCCCTTACTCACTCATTCCTCCTTCCTTCCATATGGCTCTTCCACCATGCTGCCTGTTAGACCCTACATTTGGGTTATCACATCTGAGGTGCAAAAATGTGTATGACCCCTAGATAAACAAAGAACTACAGGAAACTCTCATTCTTTGCAACCATCTAGGGGTCATTTGGATTCTATGATAGCCTTACCCCATGCAGGCATGCCTTGGTTGAAGGCATCTGCCAAGGAATAGGCAGCCAAGGGAAACCTAGTGTAATGGAATGTGGGAATGACCTTGGGAGACAGGGCAAAGAGATGGAACCAAGGGAAGGGTCAGATAAAAGGCAACTTAGCCCACCGCAGGAATGTGGGCAGGGCAAGTGGCTCAGAAGGGACTCTCCCTAAATGGGGTTGAGGGAGGAGAGATATGCTTTCAGACTTGCACGATTCTGTTAATTGTAACCTTACAATAAGCTCATCTGGCCATGTTTCCTGTCTGGTCTACCATGCAAGGCTGACACGCAATGGCATGTGTACCCAGACATGATTGAAAGGGTTTCCAGAGGGACTTCACTGGCTGAGATGCCTTAACTGTGAAACGCTTTCCCTTACCGAAGACAGAAAGAAATCATCCAGCTAAACCAAGTTCTGTTGTTTCATTTTACTGGGATGATTTTGGGGGCATTTTAGTATATACTTTTTATCATTGTTAAATTTTATCATGGTGGAGCAGTAGGCGCTTCTAAATGCCAGATAACCACCTCCTACTAGATTAGACCTATTACAAAACTTTAACAGCCAAGCATTAATTTTGAAACAAAACCTTGACATTGCATTGGAACTTGACATTATTTTTCTCCTACAGTGGATGACAGCAGCAAAGAAATTTAGCAACACCTCTTGTTTTGCAAGCAGGAATTCCTAAAATCTCCCATTTCTTTGACTTTATCCAGAAGTAGCATCTGGAAGCTTCAGCTGGTTCAGAATGCACAGTGTGGGCACTTATGTGTCCTCCCAGAAGAGCACATATTACACCTCTGCTCCGCGAGCTGCATTGGCTGCCAGTCTGCTTCCAGGTCCAATTCAAGGTGCTGGTTTTAACCTTTAAAGCCCTTCATGGCATGGGACCAGGTTATGCGAGGGACCGCCTCTCCCTGATTACATCAGCCCGTCCCATTAGATCTGGCAGAGAAGGCACGTTGCAGGTACCATTGACCAGGGACCCACATCTGGTGGGTCCCAGGAGGCGGGCCTTCTCTGCCGTGGCACCTGCCTTATGGAACATTCTCCTCCCTGAAGTCAGGTTAGCTCCATCCCTGTTATCATTCCGGAAGTCCCTCAAGACCTGGTTATGTCACCAGGCTTGGGGGTCCCAGGGAACTGGAGACATTCTTAGATGGCTCCATTGTGGCTGATTCTCTGTGTGTGGTTTGTATATTTTAAATTTTTTATAGTGTTTTCTCCATTTTTAATAATGACTTTTATATTTTATAACAATTGTCTTTTATATATTTGCTGTTTTTATTGATTGTTGTATGCTGCCCAGAGTTGCTTCTTGTGAGATGGGCAGCCACATAAATGTGATTCAATAGATAATAAATAAATAAATGAGATTGTTAAGGATTCCAAGGCTTAGGTGCATGGAAAGCTTTTCAGCTGATGCCAGAAAGCAAAATGGGACAAGGCATAGTTTTTCCAGGGAAAGAATTCAAAAACTTTGCTGGAATTGTGTGGGAGAAGATTCCTACCAGATGTCTGGGACTCCTTTTGGGCACTGTACTGGGTCAGGAAGACTGCCTCTATATCAGGCAGATTTGTACCCTCAGGCTGGATTTCGGCTCCCTGAGCCCCCATTTTCTTCTCTGACCTTGCTGAAGCTGAGCCCGTGGTCCTGAAGGAGGAAGAATTCCTCCCTGTCTTCCACTGAATTGCAGTAAGACTCCTTCACAGTAAGCAGCATTCAAAATGGCAGACTTTCCTAGCTGAATCTGACTTACGGTAAACTGTGACAATTGTTTCTGGATAGCTGATTTCGTTATTTGTACAGTTCACCACACATGATACACGGAGTGACCAATTATTGACAACGAAAGTGAAAACTTTCCAGGTGGGCCCAACTTCTGTATAATTATAGCTGAAGGAAGATTCCTCCTGAATATCACAGCTGCTGCTGCTGCTGCTGTTGCTGCTGCAGTTTAGCACAAAGAAGTCTCCAAATTTCACCACTTTTTCCGTCAAGTGGACTACTGAGTCTTCGTTCTGAGCCCCTGAAAACCCAAGGAATGACAAGAACATGAATTAACAAGATGGTATCATTTCAGCTTGATTTTGTCCAAAGCGTTTAAATCACTCACATGCTTTTCTCAGTCAGCTGACATCTTGCCCTAGGCACACCCACCAATATTACCCTGGAAAATTCAGCAAAGGAAAATATTATGGTAACCTGCTTCTTCCTTGGCATTCTCTGGTTCCAGACTGATGTTTGTAAAATTTGGTACTGGGAGGTTAACTCTTCTTACTGAGCTTCTAAAATATATTTGGATTACCACATGTTTTGGCAGCATATATGTAATTTACCTCTGAGTAAGCTAGTTATATGAATCTATCATAGCAAAAAATCAGGGGGATTCTGGTAGAACCTTTTTCTTACTAATGAATTTTATTAAAAGGCACACACATGCCTCCTCAATAGGTCAAAATCTTCACAGCTGATCTTGAATAATACTTTCTCAACTCTTACCCCCTGAAGCCTCTCCTTTACTTGAGATTCATTGCAATTTTCACTACCTGGACTCATAGAAAAGAATTTTTCAACAAATTCCATCAATACTTCAACAACTTCCATCCCACCATCAACTTTAGCATCAATGAATCTACAAAACAAGTCCACTTCCTTGATGTCACAGTAAAATCACATAATGGACACATAAACAATATACAGCATGCCTACATCTAGCTTCCCTCCAGAACACATAATCAAAATTATCATCTATATCCAGGCTCTACGCTACAACTGCATTTGTTCTGACCCACTTGAGGGCGATGCTCAACTGATGGAATTAAACCAGGGATTCAGGACACTGAACTTACCCACCCAACAAGATCAATAGACCAAACAATAGAGCCTGATTGACTCCCAGGGAGGATCTATTAAAAAACAGACCACAAAAACAGAATAGAACACCATTGGCTGTTTACAGCTCACAGCGAAATCACACAAAACATTATTAATAAGCTACAGCTAATAATAGACAATGGCACTTCATTTTCTCAAGTACTGGGTAGCAGGCCTATATTTGCATATAAACAGCTACCCAACGTGAAATAGATTCTCACAAGCAACAAGAAACAACAGGACAATGATGCTAAAATGGGAACCAGACCCTGCAACAAATCCAGATGTCTACTTGGCTCTCATATCTATACCAACAGCATCATCACCAGCTCCAATAAGTACACACCCAAGATCAGAGGCACTTTCACGTTCACTTCCTATAAGTGAACTTCCTATGTATGCCACAGCAGTGCCAGCAATGCCCCTCTGGATTCTACATAGGATAAACAGGACAAACTTTGCACAGAAGTCCAGAAAAGCTAAACAAAAAATGTCACATTTTACTAAGAGATATGCTGACACATATGCAGGAAAAAAAATGGCAGTTTTCCCATAATGCTTTTATTTCTGTCTATTTATGCTTAGTAGTGGTTTCTTTTTGTGTTATCCAACTGCCACTATCCAGTGTAGACCTTTTCTTTCCTTCCTATTTAATTCTTCTAATAATGAAAAGAACCAGTTTGGTCTAGAGGTTAAGGCACCAGGCTAGAAACCAGGAGACCGTGAGTTCTTGTCCTGCCTTGGGTGCAAAGCCAACTGGGTGACCCTGGGCCAGTCCCTCTCTCTCAGCCGTAGGAAGCAGGCAAGGGCAAACCATTTCAGAAAATCTTGTCAAGAAAACTGCAGGGACTGGTCCAGGCAGTTGCTGGCTCGAAGGCACAAAACATCCAATAATAAAAATATCTTAATAATAATAAAAAAAAAACTTTGGGCAGAAGAATGAATGGACACAAGCTTGACATCAGGATTCAAAACAAGGACAAAGTAGTATCAGAGTATTTCAACTTCCCAGTGTTCAAAGTGACCATTTTGGCAAAAAGTCTTTAACAGCACAATTGAGAGAGACGCTAAACTCACTTCAAAAGATTTCAGGCTATCTTAAAAAGTCTCAGCCAACACAATGGGCTTTTAACACATTACAATTGTTAATTGATAAGGTACTTGTAATCTGTCTCACATGTAGCCTGCATCTGCGTAACCACCCTGTCTTCCCCTCCCTTTTATACCCCAGTTAAAATCTCACATCCGTCTAGCCACTCTATGCATCTGAGCAAGTGAGATGCAGCTCATGAAAGTTTATACCTTTTAATAAAATGTTGGAAAAGGTGCTACCAGGCTCCTGGTTTTTCGTCACTCTGAGTGTGCCCACTTGTTTTCCCTTGCTGGAGATGGAAAGAACCAGAAAGGGCTGCCCCCTGCTCTTCCCAACTTATGGGAAGGTAAATGGGTAGAAGACAAAGCCTATAATCCTTGACCACTGAGCATGCTGATATCCAGAGAGCACCAGTTTGTCCTTCCCGATCTAACATCTGGATTACTCCAGTATTGATCCTAAGATCTTGGTGATCTTGGACCCATCACTACTGCACAAACTAACCTTCCTCACAGGATTGCCATGGCAAGGATAAAATCAGGAACTGTTTTTGCATTTCTTGAGCTCCCACACAGAGTGAGAAGTGGCCATGTTTGCAGTGTGCTTTTTTTAAAGATTTTTTATCCTGCCTTTATTATTTTTATATAACTCAAGGTGGCAAACATACCTCATACTCCTTCCTCCTCCTATTTTCCCCACAACCACCACCCTGCGAGGTGAGTTGGGCTGAGAGAAAGAGGGACTGGCCCAAAGTCACCCAGCCGGCTTTCTTGCCTAACATCTAATCGTTACATAATATGGTAAAGAAATGTGTGGCTTCGGCCCACGTGAGGATGGTTTCTGTTGGTTCTGATAATGGCCTGAATGCAAAACACTCCCTCTCAGGATATTTTCTGAGCCATATAGATTAGAAATGGCCAAGGCACCATCTTCTGAAATGGAAAGAGGGTTGAAGCATTCTGAGTCTTCTTGTCTCAAAGCAGGAGGGGGTGGGGGGTGCTAGCTGGAAAAGTCTCTTTTTATTGAAAAAACCATTTTCTCATTTAGAATTAGTTTATATCTAATTAATCCAATCTTATTTTTTCATTCACACTGTGATGCTAATATCTGAGCCTTCCAGTTGCCCTTCTGGTGCAGAAGACAACAAAACCTATCCTACTACTACTACTACTACTACTACTACTACTAATAATAATAATAATAATAATAATAATAATAATAATGCATATCTCTATTTGTAGTTTCTGAAGATTCTTCCCTGGTACATCTTATTTACAATATTTATATATAGGCAGCTCATGAAATTCAATGAAAGATATGCAGCCGTGCAATAAAAATACAGTGAAAGAAACTGTACAATTAAGATCACACCCAAGAAAACTCAGGTGTACATGTGTGCAGACATCTGCTAAGATTAGAAGTACAGCCAGAGTTAAATACGTGGAAAAATTAAAAATTAATACTTAGAGTGCTACCACTGAGAAAGTGCTTCCCCCGTCGTCTCCCTTGAAAGGAGACCCAGGTTTCATGCGGGGAGGTGAAAGAGTCAATTATGCACACCGAGGATTCAGAAGAAGAAGGGGAACTTCTTCCCAAACTGATACGTGTTGGAATATAACTCCTGTGCCCCACCAGCCTGTGGAATGGCACAACAGAAGTTGCAGCTTAAAGCACGTGGTGGGTGCACAGTTTGGAAAGCCTAGCAAAAGACCTTCAAGGTGAACACCAAGTCCTGGACGGAGATTAAGTCCTGCATAAGTTCCAGCTTCAGGACACTTACTTGAAAAGGCCAGGAGGAATCCTATGCAACACAGAAAGGCACCAAAGAGCTTCCTGGTTCTCACCTCCATCGCTGAAAAGAAATGGAAAGAAGCGGTTCATTGACTTAGAAAACGTGTCCTTCAAAGACTGCAGGAGAATAAATCACCAGGGACAACGGTGAGTGTGGAGAGCAAGCTCAGGGACAACCTCTGACTCCAGGACCTGAGAGTCCATTCCTGTAGACTAGGGGTGCCCAAACTTTTTGGCAGGTAGAGAAATATTTGAAATCCTCCTTGACACACTTTGTAGAAAACCTGAATGTAGGATAACCAGCCCTGAAGGTTCCCCTATATTCCAACATGCAAAAAAATATTTTAGTTCCATGTTCCCTTTCCATTTGCTCTTCTTCCGGGCATATCAGGCTGGGCGTTTGTTCTTCCAGTTGGTTTTTGCTTGCAAGCTGAAAACTTACCGCAAGCCTTGGAATAGTTTCCATCTGTTGCTGTTGCTGGTTTTTATACCTCAGTTTAGATTGTTCTGGTTTCTTCTGCACGTGCTTCAGTGCTTGTTGGTTGTTTGTCCGTTTGAATGTGGATTTTTTGCTTTCTGATATCTATTATGTTTCTTGTACTTCTTATGCTGTGAAGTGTGTTAAGTATGTAAAAAATTGGTCTTGCTTTATCTTTTGCAATGGCTGCTTTTACTGATTTTACAGTTTGCTACTTTTTTTCCCCCGAAAATCAATTTGCAACCTTCTGCCCCAAGTACTTCCTGGGTTTTCTTGCATCCTCTAGAGCTGTTTCTTTCTTCTTACACATCTCCCCTTTTTCCTCTCTCCTTTGCTACAAGAAATTCAGGACAATTCTATTTTCTACTCATAAAATCCTTAAGAAGTGAAGGAAGCTTGAAAAAGCAAGACTACTCAAAGCACTTCTCTACTTTGCTCCCATAGTCTATTCTCCACCCTTTGCCGGCTTAGATCCATTTGGTTGATTCCCAGTGAAGGTTTATGTCTCCTCCCCATACAATACTGTGATGACAAAGTGATTCAGGAGAAGGCTTTATCACTTACCTGCACTGGTGGCAGAAATGGCTCAAAGGAGAAAGAGCACCTGAAGAAGACAAAGTGGTCTCAGTGTGGTTGGTGCTGTCGGCTTGCTACAAGTTTTTTACAGCACAAAGGACTGGGAGGGTTCTGTTGCTGCTGATGATAAAATGCAGGCAGGCAAATGTCCTTCCTGCTAGGAGAAGATAAGGCAGCCAACTTTGAGTTCCTAGAAAGACAACACTGAAGGAGGAGCTTTTTGCATTAATAAGGAATACTGGGCATTATCCAGCTAGTGTTAACACTAATCATCTTCTCCTTCTCCTTCTCCTTCTCCTTCTCCTTCTCCTTCTCCTTCTCCTTCTCCTTCTCCTTCTCCTTCTCCTTCTCCTTCT